GGAGAGGGCAGAGGGAGGGAATCCAAGACCTGCATAGCCTTGAGTGGATCCCTGCATGTTTCTGGGCCTCCGTTTCCTCACATTTGTAAAATGGGCTCATTCTCACAACAAACAGAGGTTTCTTCTTGTTTTCCCTTTCTCTGCCTGGGGAAAGCAAATTCAAGGTGGGGAGGCTACCCTCATTTTCACAGCTGTAAGCTCTTCCTGGCAGTGGTATGTAGGCAGCAGGAGGTATTAGACCCCCTTGTCCAGTGAGCAAAGGGAAAATCAATGAGAAGAGAGAATTCTGAGATGAGTTTTATAGATGGTTTTCTCCAGGACACCTGCAGACTCTGGGACCGTGGGCACTGGGCAAGAGCCCCATGACAGGGAGGCAGGGGTGGGGAAAGGGAACCTGGACACAGGGGATAACTCACCAGCTCCTCGACTTTGCTAGAAGTCAGCTCTAACCCCGGTGCACACGGCTCTCTCTCCTTCCTTTCTCATTTTATTGTTTTTTAAAAAAATCACAACTTGGGAATTCCCTGGTGGTCCAGTGGTTAGGACTCAGCACTTTCACTGCTGGGGGACTGGGTTCATTCCCTGGTCGGGAAACTAAGATCCTGTAAGCCGTGTGGTACTGAAACTGTGCACCTCAGATTGGGACTTGAATCCACATGCCGGGACTCGAACCCAGCCAAAACCCAGACTGGGACTTGAACCCACATGGCCGGGACTAGAACCCAGACCAAACTCCCAGTCTTCCAACTGAGATTGCACACCTGGTTTCAGGACTTAATGAAGCTCAGGTTTTTGATGTCTCATTGCAGAAAGGATTCAGTGAGACAAAGTAATAGGTAAGAAGTGAGAAACACTCCACAGACAGAGTGTGGGCCATCTCAGAAGGTGAGAAAGGCACCAAGGTATGGGATTGTCAGTTTTTATAAGGGTGGGTAATTTCATAGGCTAATGAGTGGGAGGAGTATTCCAGCTATTCCGGGAAGGGGCGGGGATTTCCATGAACTGGGCCACTGCCCACTTTTTCATCCTTATGGTTGGCCTTGGAACTGTCATGGCACCTGTAGGTTTGTCATTTAGCTTACTGATGTGTTACAATGAGCGTATACTGAGGCTCGAGGTCTAGTGGAAGTCGACTTGCCCACCATCTTGGACCCATTTGGTTCTAATCCGTTTATGTCATGTCCTCAGGCTATGTCATTCTTTCAAAGGTTGTGCCCTGCCCCCCTTCCCTCCTGTTTCAATTCAGCTAGGCTGTGTCCCCAATTATTCAATCAAACACTAACCTAGGTGCTGCTGTGAAGGTATCTTGTAGATGTGATTAAATCCCATAATCAGTTGATTTTAAGTAAAAGGGATTATTCTAGATAACTGGGTGGATCTGATTCAGTTGGTTGAAAGGCTGAAGAAGAAAAGTGACTTCTTCTGTGGCAGCTCCAGCCTCCTCTGCAGTTTGTGACTTACCTATCAGTCCCCTCGGCCCACCACCTTGGAGCAGTCCAATTCTTTGCCACAAATCTTTAATATAGACCTACAGGTTCTGCTTCTCTGCTTGTATCCTGACTGATACACAAAGAGGAAAACTTCATCCCCCATAATCCACCATCCAGAGGTCACTAAGGACAACATTTTGGTTATTTCCTTCCAGCCTTTTTTTTCCCTTTTTATCCATGAGCATGAATATTTTAAGTAAGGTCATGATCCCTCTGGTTTATATCACTGTGCATCTTAAATGCTTTCCCGCAGAGTCCACGTGCTTTTCTCCCCCAGAATTATTACTGGCGAAGAGGAAGGTCATCCACTGTCCCCCCTTGGTTGGACGTTTGCGTTGCTTCTGCGTTTATACTGTATCAAACAATACTTGTGCTTTCACTATAGCTAGCACTTGCTTCTGGGAGAGAGGGCTTCTTTTCTGGTCATCACTGTGTGTCCTTGGCCAATCCCAGGACCAGATTGGGTGGTCGACCCTCTGAGTCACCCCCAAAGGCCGGGGCTGCAGGCACCTGGCACTCCTGAAAGGTGAGCACCAGCATGGAGCCCAGCGCAGCCCTGCCAGGCCTGCTTTCCTTGCACACAAAGGAAAAGTGCCTAGTCATTGCAGCTTGCGGTTTGAGTAGCAGAGCCTGGGCACCTCCCTGGGTGGGGAGTAAGGAGCTGCCTCAACAGCCCTCATCAGTTCCTGTCTGGGTGTGCCATGCCAGGCAGGGCTTGGGCAGTGCTATTGACAGTCAGGGCACTTCTAGGGCAGCCGGGCCCGCCTGCATGGCCTGCGGCACAGAGTGGGGAGAGACTGTCACCCTGTTCCCTCTTCTGATATCTCCTGGTTTCCCTGAGCAAGCTGGGTGGTAGAGGTGGCTTTTGTTCCTGTAGATATTAAAGATGAACATTTTTGTTTTGCTGTGGGGAGATTAAGTGGATTTTCTCCTGGGCAGTTGTTGAAGAGCTGAAGTGGTGGTTATTTAGGGTAGGGCTGCAGCAGTCTGGAGAAAGGCATGGAGAGGGATCCTTTCCCTGCTTAGAGCCACACGGCTCCTCCTGGGAAACACGAAGCCGTAACAGTGTTTGGCTAGGAGGAACAGTCAGCAGCCACAGGAAGTCCCAAACCCAGGTTGGTTGCCCTCCAAACACAATGGCTTTTTCTCCCCACCCCACCCCTAGAATTAGCAATGACATCTAGTCAGCCTTCCTTCTGGTGACTTTGATGAGGCCTCAATTGACCCTTTGATTCTCTCATGAATTCACTCCTTTGTTGCATTTACCAAGGCCTGTGTGCCAGCACTGTGCTAGATGTTTGGGGAAGAAGATGATCCTGTCTTGGTTCTCAGATCACAGGTCACAGGTCGGCAGGGGCCACACGGCCCTGTCCTGTGATCTGTATAAAGAATTGCCTGCTGAGACTGCAGATCAGGGAAGGCTCCAAGGAGGAAGTGACAACCGACAGCAAATTTTGAAATAACAGTATTCCCTGCCACCAAACTGTACCTGTGTCATGCTGGCATGGGTGATGGGAATTGAGACTATAAACCCATTTCAGATCCGGACCTCGGCTTCCCAGCTTGGCCAGTATCCTGGCAGGATGCCTCTGAGCCACTCCGACGCACCCCCCACCCCCCCACCCCCGGCCTAGGGCTGAGAAAGCCCTCTGAAGAGCCATACCTGGGAGGAAGGGATAACAACAGGTGACTGGCAGCAACGCCACTGTCATTTCCAAACGTGCTTCAAAATTCTCCAGGGACCCGAAAGCTTTTTCCACGTTCCACAAACCCAGAGGGAGGTTTGAACTGAACACGTCCAGGTCAACTCTTGCCTCTGCTGCCCCCTAGCTGGGTGAACTTGGACGGATGGCCTTCGGCAAATCACTCAGTGGTCAGTTCCTTCACCTGGAAAACGAGGCAATGACATGTGTCCCCCAGGTGGTCAGGATGGTCAAAGTCACTCTATTCCAGAGTGACGTGCATCCCTGCTCCCGAAATCGCAGTTTACCACGGAGCCCAGGCTAAGGGGACAGGGCAGGCGTGTGTGGGGCTGTGCCCATAATGTCCAGCACTGAGTCTGGGACAGAACAGCTGCTACCCCCAGCCCCAAGGGTCAGATGGGGACCAACAAATAGGGTGTGTGTGTGTGTCTCTTCCTCCCACCTTCCCTCCTACCTCTCTCTGAGGTTGACGCACCGGCCCATCTTTTAAGGGCTCCAAAGTCCTCGGGGAATGTTAATTAATAACCTCGCCATCTTGGGCTGGAGCGCAAACAGCTCCTCGGTCTCCTTTTGGGCAGGAGCCCAGTGAGTCAGGGCAGGCGATGGAGGGGGGCGGGAGCTGGCTCCCAGGTGTGTCAGCCCTGGACGGGCCCTTTGTGGGAGAGCGGCCGTCTTCTGGGTGAAGGGGAGCTGTGTCAGAGTGAAGACCAGGGCTCCTATTTACGGGGGCATTCTGCGAATTTGTGTAGTCATGCCCAAGCATTCCCATATTTAATATGGAGCATCTGATTATAAATTACTTTAAAACTTCTCCTTTAGATCACAATTAAGGTCTTATTTAAAAATTATGTAGGCATAGGTTACATTCTCTATGAATTCTAGGTCAAAATGGTAAAGGTGAAATGACAAAATATTTGTTTATTTAAAAGGGGGTGAGGTGCCTGCTAGGGTGGAGACCACACAGTAAATGGGGGTGTTGGCCGGCAACATTGCTAGCATCCCCTTTCCCATCAGGGGGCCTGTTGGGGTAAGGGTCAAACAGAAATCAGGGAAGCTTCTCGGTGCCAGCAGGACGGGAGAGGATGTTAGCCCTTCTGTCCAGGGGAAAGACCCCTGCCTGGGAGAGGCTGGGAGGGGCAGTCTGTGGCGGCAGGAACGTGTCAGATATAGAAACAACAAAACGGGGCTTCGCTAGCAAAATGTGTAGCGGTCCAGATTTTTGTACATGCTTCAGAAGCCAGGGCGCCATTGCCAACACAGAGAAATTCCACAGAACATGGTGGGTGGTTTGCTGGGGTTGCCTCTAGAGCTTTGCCAGGGCTCAGGCAGTACCAGACCCATCTTTCTGGAGGGGCAGGGACGTGGTAAGCAAGCAGCAGTTCCTGTGGACTGTGGCCGGCTTCTCAGCTCCAAATTCTGGGACCCTTTTTAGACTGATGGGCTGACGTCAGTCTAACCACAGCCAGGGCCTCTGCCCCTTCCCAGGATGACAGGAAGCTGGTGTCGTGAGTGGCCCTTTCCCAAGGCTGCACTTTGAATGGCCTCCACCTCCGAGGGATGTGGGGAGGGTTAAGGAATGCACACAGAGCACACAGCACACAACAAACGTCGGTTATGATTACTTGTGGGACTGTACTTCAAATATATTCAAACTTACGTGAAAGAAGTACCTGTGAAACATGATGTGACTGTCATGCGGCCTTTGCATCACCTCCTTCCGAGCCATTCTACCGCTGGGCATGAGAGCTCTCTTAGTAGTCAGCTTTACTTTTAGCTAATTTGCCTGGTGAACTGAAGAGATATATGTAAGCCCCATCCGCCCGCCCGCCCTGCCATGGGTTCCGTCTGCGTGAGTGTGGCAGCAAACTTAGACAGGTGGAGAATCTTGAATTGATCTAAGCCCTTTAGAAACCTGTTGGCGTCTTCCCATTTGGGGGTAACAGAGACCCCAAAAGACACAGCCTAAAGGAGAGAATGCAGGCTGGGCTCCAGGGTTTGCTTGGTTTAGTGACTGTTTTGCTGCTCTTCCCTCAGCTTTCCAAGAACCTGGCTTCATCTTTAGAGGAAACCCCATGGCCGGATTTCTAGCTGCTCATCCAGGAGACAGGCTGGTTCTTGTAGCTCTGACAAACACAGAAGCCTCAGCAATTTCTAACTCACACACTTACTCAAAGACCAGGTATTTTTTAAAGTTTATCACTTAATTAATCAATTAATATTTATTTATTTTATTTTTGGCTGCGTTGGGTCTTTGTTACTGCATGCGGGCTTTCTTCAGTTGCGGAGGGGGGGGGCTACTCTTTGTTGCGGTATGTGGGCTTCTCATTGCGGTGGCTTCTCTTGTTGCGGAGCATGGGCTCTAGGCACGCGGGGATCAGTAGTTGTGGCTCACAGGCTCTAGAGCGCAGGCTCAGGAGCTGTGGCACATGGGCTTTGTTGCTCCGCGACATGTGGGATCTTCCCGGACCAGGGCTTGAACCTGTGTCCCCTGCATTGGCAGGCGGATTCTTAACCACTGCGCCACCAGGGAAGCCTAAGACGAGATATCTTTTAGCAACAGCATGAACCAGGATCCATAAACGGTGAGTGAAAACATCATTAGAAACAACCAGGAAGCCTAAAATCCCAAACCCTATGGCTCTTGTTCACGATCCAGTGGCCTTAGTTTTTCACGAAATTCCAATGAACCTGGTTACCTGGTTTCCTAGGTCATGACAGCTGAAAAGCAGCACGTGAGTAGGTCAAACTAGCTTTTAATAAACAGTGGTAATGTGTGACCTAAGGAATTATAGAAAGCAATCTAGAATAATTTATCGTGGAGGCAATGGAGTCAAGAAAGGAGTTCTAGACCAGCCCTCTGGTCTGCTTGGCTTCGGGTCCCTAACTCAGTACTGGCTTAATAAGCAGCAGGCCCTGTCACTCTCAGCTTCAACTCCCTTCTCCCTAAAATGGGTTATTGTGAAGATCAGGAAAATAATGGACAGCAATGCTTAAGTGCTGAATGAGCATGCATTAATGATGACTGGGGTGTGTGTACGAAAGTCATAAAGCAAGGGTTAAGCATATGCTCTGCTCTAAAAAAGCAGGCAGGTATGTCAAACATTTTAGAGAGAATTTCATTTGGAAACACACTTAATGTGAACAATTACTAGGGAGATATATGATTAACACTTTTTTCCTTTTCCCTATGTCCCATAATGATGACATTTTACTTTCTTCCCTCCCTCTTTCCTTCCTTATCATCCTAGATGCCTGGCACATATGACAACTCAACACACATAAACTGAGTGAATTTGGGAAGTGACCTGGAAGGTTAAGTCCCCTGTAAAACAGTGTTTTTGGTCATGATTAGACCTGTACCCTCCATCTGGGGAAAACTCAGAGGAATAAACGGAGTTGTTTTGTTCTCTCACCTCACTCCCTCTCAGCAGTAGGAGACTCTGGAAAAGTGTAGCAACTCATTCAAAAGTTCCTATTTCTGTAAATTCAATAAAAACACAATTAAAATTTAGTAGGTGCTAAAACTTGGTTTTGAACTTTTATTAAAAAAATATATTTGCAAACATATAAAATTTAGGATGAAAAATGCTCATCTGAAAACAGGTAATAACTTAATATTTGCAAACATACACAGATGGTATAAAATCCATACCATTAAAAATGTTAATGATGCTGTATTGCGCTCATGGAACAAAAATCTTGCTGTAACCCCAGAGCTTCTCATGCTCACGTTTCAGGGCGCTGAGACTCTGGTACACTGAAGGTCATGAGAGCCACATGGCCAAAGCAGGAATACAGAATAAAAAACCATTTAGAACACATACTGTTAAAAACACGTTTCTTAAGGAATCACACAGATAAAAGGGAAACACAATTTTGCATTTTCCCCATTCAAAGTGAACGATGTTGCATCATAGCATTTCAAATGAAGATGTCAAATACAAAACTGAGTGAAACATTGCACACATCTCTCCTGCTGAATTTGCTGAAAAACAGGCTCCTTGAGGCCCCGGCCCACTCAGGGAAATGTTCTCAAGCACAGCTTTAAAAAGCTCAGTGTAAGTTGCTTTACTTGTTTCAGATCTTAACGTTTTAGACACCTGAAAACACAGGGCACTATTGGTTCCAGAAGGCCCTTTGAATACAACTGAAGAAAACCAAAGACAAGTAAGAAAGAAACACGTGCTCAGCAGCAAACGCGCAGCAAGAATGCAGGACACACGTCCCTGTGATTCCTCGTCTTCACTCACGTGGACTGAGCCCACTCGTGCCTGTGCTGCCTCTCACTCCTCTGTGTTTCATTTTGCCCAGAGTTACAGTATGATGGCTAATTTTGTTTTTTAAGCAGTTAGGCACCTTCAATTTCATGTTGCATTGTTAGTAATACAATGGCAGTTATGGCCTCTACTACCAAAATGAGAAAATTTCAAACTACATTCTTTGGGGAGGAGAGTAATAAAGCTGCGTGGTTTAAAAATATTTACCTAGTAGAAGATTTGATGGGGTTTAAAATTTTTACAAGAAAACATGGGTGGAAAAAGAACAATTCTTGACATGCAAAATCGGGTCATATTCTAAACTTAGCCTGTGCATCCTCCGGCAGAGAAGGACCCAGGTCAACTTGGGTTCTTAACAAAACCCCACTCCCAAAAGCCTTCCAAAGTAAGCCATGGACACTCACATTCACATGCAGACGGCATGAATGCTTCTGAAACTGACAGTCACTTGAAAACCTAGGATTCAAAGTCACACCTTACAAACCTTGGGAGAGATGCACAATGAGGAGGAGCTTCTTCCATAAAGGAAAGGAGCAAGGCTGTTTGGGAGGTGGGAGTCCATTCAAAGACACCACATCAACTACAACCAAAGAAGGTAGTGCCACCCACCCAGGTGAGGGGGGGTGCATACAGACAGTCACGGTGACCTAAATGCAGGTCATCTGAAGTTCTACAAACCTAGCAAGAAGCATCTCTGTTTTGGTGTCCATTTTGATTCACCTAAGGTTTAAAACTAAGATTCCAGTAAAGTCACTGCAGCAATGTAAACATGCAACCTAAACTAGCATGAGGTTCTGGACAGAAGCCTGAATGAGGAATAAGGCAACTGAACTGCGACTTTCGGGCCAGGGTCATCCAACTGCAACTGTTCAGGCTTCGCCTGACTTCTCTAGGGACTCATTCTGGCCTGAACTTCCTAGTCATCATGACGGGGGACTTCTGGCTTCTGAATTTTCAAAATGCTTTGAATACATAAATCTGGGAGTTGAAACAGGTTTACCCTTTTCAAGTCTCCATGACTTGGGCACTTAAAAATTTACTTTCACACTAAGGAAACCTTATCACAGATTCTCTTTACTGTCTGTCATATTCATTCCTTGGATTAAAGGGTGACAATTAACAGATTTGATTAAAGACCCTCTTCAGGATATTCTCTCAACTCTCTTGTAATATTGTCCATACTCAAATCATCATTTCAATTCAAATGTCTATCATAACAAGAATCCCTCGATTCTTCCACTTACCAAAGCCCACTGAGACTACACCTGGGATGCGAGCAAACCTACCAGGGCAACTGTTTTCTGAGAACAGTCACGTGGCTCCCTGGACACCATCTCCTGGTGTCAGCAACACTTCACGTCTTACTGTAACCTTCTCTTTCCCAGGTGACACGCAAGCAATTCATTTTTGGTTGCTGAATTTACACACTACCTTTGAAAACAAACTATTCCTAATGGAGTATGAGAACTTAAAAGCTTCCCTGGCTTCTGCGCAATTCACAAATAACTAGGTAAATGCAATAGAAGACACTAAATTGGGAAGCAGAAAAGTTGTCCAGGAAGCATGTTTAGATTAACAAAAGCCAATCAAGGTGTTCTTTATGCTAAAAAACTAAGAGCAAACTAAAACAAGTATGTAATTCACAAGTAATTTTCTAAAATCTCAGCTAGAAAAAAAAAAAATCTGTGGACTTATGATTGAGTTACCATTAAAGCTTAAATGATTGTTCCCGAGGAACCATTACATCTGTCAGCATTATTCACAGCTAATCCTTATGCTAGCTGGTTGAGCCAATTGGGTTTTACCCCATCATTAAATAGTGCTCAGAAAAGTAAGCAGTGCATCTTAATTGGTTAAATACTACAAAATGACCTGTATCATAGAAGCGAAGACATTTTCATTCAAAGAATATCTTAAAATTACTATTGCTGAAATAAATCAAAATCTACATTAAAATATTACTAATCACCATTACATGCCATAAAAGAATAAATATAAATCATGGCAGATCAATAGCAGCATAACAAAGCATCTTTACATATTTTCACACTTCGGGCTGCAAAAGTACTCACAGCCTAGGAATACATTGGTAAAGTTCTGAATTTCACACTTTGTTTTTAACTCCATATTCTATAATAAAGTAAGGGCAGTGTGAATAACAGCTCCCTTTTCTGCATAGCTTTAAAACTATTCTCAGTAGACTTGAGGAATGGAACCAGAATGGCTTTGTCAGATTGGTCCACTGGTCCTTTTGTCAAAGTGTTAAGGAAAACAATTAACAATGACTTCTCACTGTGTTTAGACAGAAAAGGAAAATAAGGCTATGATTCACACACAAATGTAACATTTTCAAAACCACTGGAGAGTAACTTAAAGTGAAGATTTCTGATAGAATTCGGGCCTTACCAGTCCCAGCCTTTATTTCAAAGATGTGCCACGCCTGCTCCCATACCATGACAGGGCCTGCAGGGCCTGATTCCAATGTATCCCCACACTGGGAGCCTGCCACATGGCAGCACTGGGGACACTTAAAAACAAAACACAATTAAGAAATTTCAGAACTTTTAAGGCCCAAGTGAGACATTCATATAAAACATACTTCACTTGAACAAATCAGTCCTAATTTGCCAGCTTAAACTCTGACCCTTAAAACACGAAGCTACTTTGCACAGAGCTGACTTCTGCTCTGTTCTGAACTTGACTACCAGCCCAATGCTCAAGTTTTTAGGGGGGGAGTGGAGGGGAGAGGGGTGCAGACTGGGCTGAACTCTGACTGCTGCAAGGCTGGTGACCCCTTTTCCCTAAGACCTTGAACGTGAAAGTGAGTTGAAAATCAGATTCCTTATTTCACAAACTTGCTTAGATCTGATGAAAACACCCACACAACTCAACACAATGGTCTTTTTTTTTTTTTTTTTTTTTTTGTCAAAACAAAGGTCTGCTGGTGATGCTTCACAGTGAAACCTCCATCATCACTGGGAACGTCACTTGGAAAACATTCTTAAGGAATGAGTCTCTTTCTCATAGGCTCAATTTCAGGATTCTCAAAACTCAATGTTCTGTTTAGAAGTTTCCATGATGAGGCCTATTGTTTCTGAGGTCGCCATTCTGCCTTTGGATCGACTCTGCTCCAGTCATAGGTTGTGGCTGTCTTTGTTCTTGGTCAGAACCTGCAAGTAGACTTCATGAAGCGTACTAAGGAAGCTGGAATCATTCTGGAAGAGATGGTAATGTCACATTTACCTCACTAGAGCTTACTTTCTTGATAACCGCTTAGGAAGAAGCTGTATACATGATCTGTATAACTAATTACCCAAAGAATCCCACCACCCAGAGATAACCATTAATATTTTGGAATTCACTCAGATATTTTTCCACCTGGAGCATATGCCCAAGAAGAGAGAAACACTGGTTCTGGCTAGTCGTGAATTTTCTTTATGAGCTGATTTTCTAAGAAGTCATACAATTTTTTTATTTTTAAAGAATGAAATTCAAAGATGAAATTGATGCCCTACATACCTTAATTAGATGTATTAATGTATCCTGGAGCTGAGACTTGCTGAGGATAATGGAAGGCTTTCTCTGATTTTCTGATGTTCCAACAGTGAGAGGAGAAGGGGAGCTTGCTTTCCTCTCAAGGTCTGAGGACCTTGTAACTGTCTGCTGGAAAACACTTGGGGACAGCAGGACTGAGGACACTGCTGAAGTTGTTGCAGGAACCAGTGGGGGGCCTGCCACCTGCAGGGGAACAATGGTCATTTTGCACCGTCAGCAGCCACGTTGATTAGTGGACGCCTGATAACAAGCATAAGCAGCAGGAGACTGGAGCCCTGAGTCCAGTGCTAACTGTTTGGGTTTCAGATAAACATTCAGGAGCAGCATCTGGGCATTTTACATCTGGTTAGGAAGCTTGTTAGCTGAAGGATAAAGAGTCCATTTATATGATAAGGATGCTCTAGAGTTGTTATGAGAAGCCAGGCCCAGTCATCACAGAAGGGGGACCTGATAAATAACAGCAGGGTATGTACAGTAAGAATAGTCCTGTGATAAATCAAACATGTGAAGTTTTTCCATGAGGGGCACAGAAATGACTGGAAGAGGGCGTGAATGAACTTCCTGAGGTGATGGAAATGTTACATACCTTGGCTGGGTCATTACCCAAGGGATATACGTATGTTAAAACTCAATTAAAAAATCTGCATTTTATT